TGAAACAGGTAAAATTGTCTCATTTGTCTGCAAGCATGGTTATTTATCATATTTAGGTATGTCCATTGTCCAATTTTATAGTCCAGGGATAGTGGTAAACATGCAATATATCAGTTGCCATTCATTTTCATGCAATTTATAGCAACCAAATTTAATTATTTTAAGAAGGATTTAAACAATTATGCTCTAACATAACACTAAAAAGGGATTTTTTATACCAAGTTCATTTCTAATTGCCTAATTTTGTTTATTATCCAATGTAAGTAAAATTTGGGGTCCCATGCTTCTACAGGAAAGTACACAAAATATGTCTATCATTTGCCACCATGTGATTCACAGCATCATTTCTCATTCTAGATTAGAATTTTCCTACTTATTAATGCAATCTTGCAGCTTCAAAGTTAAAAATTTTCAAAATTTTTGGAATTTTGTGGCCTGATGTGGCACTTTTGTTAAAAATTAGAAAGGAGGTAATTGATCTAGCAGGAATCTTGTAGTGACAGTTTTAAAAATGGTAGGAAAACTATTCGTGGCTTGAAAGGTAGATATATTCCTTGCCAGTCCTCATTGATACTCAAATTCTGCAGCTCAGTTTTTGTGTGTTTACATAATTGAATCCTCTAAAAATGCTAGTTTCAAAGGAAAGCACAAAATGGGTTAAGGATACCAAATTCATTTCTGTAAAAGGGGGTAACTTTGACTACTTTTAAATGATGCCATTTTTTACTAGCTAAATTAAACTTAAATTGAAACATGCAAAATACAGGTCTATACTCTAGGTTCACTCACCATAAATTGCTGGCTCCTGCCTCTCATAGTTTTGATGTAATTTCAAAAAAGTGATGGTCATTGTTACCCCCACTCTTGGGGTATCTTTGACTGGGTGGTAAAGTCAATTTTATTTTTTGGTAAAATAACTCCAAATAACTCCAGGTTTTGGTGCATTGTAGTAGAACTCTTCTAGTTACATACCTATGCAAAGACAAATTTGAGGTAAGTGTCATAGGTTGCAAATGAGGGATGCTGCCCCCCAATTGGGGAACTGTGACCACCTAATGTCAGCCATGACAGGGTAATATTGACTGGCTTGGAAATTAAGTTGAAATTACCATACACAAGACTCTGTAGAGTCTGAAACATAAAGAAAAAACATTAATAGGTGTATCAAACATAAAATATGTTATATAGGCACCTATTGTAATTTTAACTTAATTTCCAAGCCAGTCAATATTACCCCGTCAGGGCTGACATTAGGTGGTCAGAGTTCCCCCATTGGGAGGCAGCGCCCCCCATTGCAAACTAGTTATTTAAAAAATAAAAATAAAAAACTGGATGCTGCTCTACGACAGGCTTTAAATAATTGCTCTTTTCCATGGGTCATATTTTTCATTTTTTAACCTTTAGATAAGCAAACTTTTTTAATCTTTCTATTGTGTTACATAGCCTCAGTATTAGGCCTTTGATGCCCATTGACAAAATTTTTCTGTGTCAAATATTTTTTGAGTTTTGGGGGTTTTTGTTAAAAAAAAACTAAAAATGGTCAAACTTACCCCAGGAGTCAAAGTAACCCCCTTTTATGGTACCTGAAAGTTCCATTTCATTTCTTTTACCCCACTATGTAGCATTTTGGAATTTTATCACCAAGCATTGGTGTTTAGGCCAAAAATTTGCCACTATTAATGAGCATTTGTCATCTGAATGATCTAGACTGTCATGATTTCTAGCCAGAAATGTATTGAACTGTCAGTTTTGTTTACATGTACTAAAAATATTTCAGAAAGATCTTTTGAGGCCACATTTTGATGCTGATGTGTCACTAAAGATCCTTAGAGATTTGCGCACTCTCTTATTATTATTAATTATTGTGGCAGATGGCATTTGCCACAAGGCTTCTCTATAGATAGCAATGATGTTCAATATGACCAGTGGCAAATGATTGATACAGACTTAGCTCACATTCTGATCAATGGGAGTAGGTATTCATTTTTACAATTAATATTCAAGAATGTCCATTCTTAGGAAATGCTTCTCTGCAAAATTGTTTAATAAAATTTGACAGTAAGATTTGGTAATTAACCACAACCATCCATCACATCAATGAAAACCATGAACAAGCACTCTCATGGCACTCATAAATGAGACAAGACACATAATAATGAGCCATAATTCTATCCCATCCCATGAAGTTTCCTGTGTGTGCAGCAAGTATTCTGGCTTATATTGGTAGTGATTCTAATTAACCATTCTCAATAGTTTTTGTAAACCCTTCTTTTGACTACATTTTGAAGTTACTTGCTGCAGTGAACTGCCTAAATGATATTTACAGTTTGCAAATTTAACTGCTTGCATAATTTTTTAGAATTCATTTTTTGCATCTTGAAGGATGAATTAGCCATAACTGCAACTTGCATTTTAGACAGGAAAGTACACTTTCTTATCAATTGTTTCCACCTTATTACTCTGCAAGAAAAAAAACATAAGTTATACATACAAATATTTTGATAATGTTTAATAATTTTATGTGAATGTAATAAATTTGTGCATTGCAAATTTGTGCCATGTTCAAAGCCAGGCACGGCAAAGAATTTCTATTGCCACCACCTGATCGAGCTCAAACCTCCCGAGTAAGTGGCCACTCGTGCCACGCATATCGCCACTCGTGCCACGCATATCGCCACTCGTGCCACGCATATCGCCACTCGTGCCACGCATATCGCCACTCGTGCCACGCATATCGCCACTCGTGCCACGCATATCGCCACTCGTGCC